GGTAGACTGGAGACAGTTCTGGAGAAGACGGGCTTCCTGCCTCCGCGAGGAAGCCTGCAGCTAGGACGGCGTCAGTGCCAGGCAGAGGAGGCCACCTCCCGCCCCTGGGGGCTCCGAAGGCTTTCCTGGGGAGGCGATGGCGGAAGTGGTCCTGAACTGGGGCAATCAACTGGGGACAGCCATGAGGGAGAAACGGAGCACTGTGCAGGGAGAAGGCAGCCGTGAGGTCAGTCACCCAGTCCTGGGGTGCTGGGGTGCTGGGAACGTGCTGGGAGACGAGGCTGGAGCGGGTTGTAGCTACGCAGATTATGTGGTGTGCCATCCTTACCAAGCGTCTTGGCACGAGGCCAGGGAGCACGGGAGCTGCCTCAGGAGCTGCCTCAGACCATGTGCACCCGCGGCCGTGCTTGTGGAAGGGTTCCATTGGGCTTCACTTTGCAGAGCTGGTGGCTGCTGTCCTGCTGTGGAGCCCTGGCTTCTCAGACACCTGCAGAGGCCTTGCACAGGAGCACAGGCTCCCTGGAGCCCTGAGCGCTCAGGTGTGTGCTGGACTGGAACTCAGAGACCCCGAGACAAGTTGCTTTGCCACGAGATCTAGGTGCTGTCTGGGCCCATGGAGATGGAGAGGACTGTCTCTGCCCAGCAGCAATGGCCTGGGCCAGCCCGTCCCTCTAGTGCTCAGAAGGCTGTGAGTCAAGGGGCCAGCGCTGTGTACATGCACAGTGACTCTAATGGGTCTGTTTGTGTTTCAAATGTATCCAACTTAATTTAAAAATCCAGATCTTCTTCAGAGTACAATGGTGCACATTCTAATTCACCCTGAGACTCCTTAAGAATAATGTCTCAGTGAGTAGAACAGCACTGTGTAGAAATGTGTCTGAACTGCGGCTGACCTGCAGGTGTTATAACTGTAGATTAGAGGCCCAGGTACAAGGTGTGCTCACCCAGAAAATAAGAGAAAGTGGGTGGAGCCAGGGACGGAGGACGAGACCAAGCACATACAGCAGGCTAGTTGTAGAGTCTAGGTGGTGTGTGTAGAGGTGTGCATGATACAGTTATTTAGACCCTTTAGTAGATTTTATGTTTTTTATGATAAAACATTGGTGGTTGGGGTATGATCCAAGTTAAAAGGACAGAAGAAACATTTATCTATTTTTTTTTAAAATATTTTTTTAGTTGTCAAGAGACCTTTTATTTTATTTATTTATATGTGGTGCTGAGGATTGAGCCCAGTGCCTCACACATGCTAGGCAAGCGCGCTACCACTGAGCCACCACCCCAGCCCCCCCTTTTTTCTTTTATATTCTTTTAGTTGTCAGTGGACATCTACCATTTTGAATAAGCTATTAACTTACCTCAGTTTAAATGGAAAAGTTAAAAACATCCATCAGTTTAAACCTTCTCTAAGATTTGGCTCTAGATTTCTAAAGATGTGTGTAAAGATCAGCCTTTTCAAAATGCATGCCTAGCAAGACTGTTTCAGAATAAAAAAAGGACTGGGGTTATGGCTCAGTAGTAGACTGGTTGCCTAGCATGCATGAGGTCCTGGGTTCAATCTCCAGTAATGTGTGCGCGGGCGCGCGCGCGCGCACACACACACACACACACACACACACACACACACACACACACACACACTCAGTCTGGGGAGAAGCGAGAGGTCTTGTCTCCTTGAGAGTAGGGCCCGGCCAGGCCCAGGAGCCTGATCGTGTGTCTCGTGTGGCTTTCCACATGTGTGACATTTCTGGGTTCATTGGGGTGACAGGTGGCCCATATGTATCCTGACCCTGAGAAACTCAGCACTGTAGATCCCCAAAGGGAGAACACATTTGTGCTGCAGGGAGGGGACACAGCTCTGGGCAGGGTTGATTTTGGTTAGAGCAACGTGGAACACAGAGCTGCATGGCTTGTTTTTAGATCCTGGCAGCTTTCTTGTGGGTGCAGGTGTAGTTTACATAAGGGTCGAAACTGCGACAGAGAGGAGCAGCGGAGGGCTCCCTGCAGACGGAGGAAGTGTGGGACGTGTACTGGGGGGCCCTTGGCCTCCCTTTTAAACGGTAGTCTGCTCAGGGCCTCTGGCAGGGGGTCGCCTCATAGGGCCATATGGGAAGAGGGCAGAGGAGAGAGACTTTGCCTGGAAAGTTCTCTTTCCCGTATTTTGTGATTGGCTGAAAATTTCCACTGAAAGCCATGGACAGGCTGAGGTGCTGCAGTGTGTCCAGGCAGTGTGGACGTGGTCGTGCCCAGCTCCTGTGTGGATGGACAGCTTTCCAGGAAGTGCTCATTTCAAAATAAACAGCCTAAGAGGCAGGGACCCACACCTGGGCACAGTCCTGGCTGCAAACAGCCACTTGCTGGGTGCCAGGCAGGTCTTGCCCTATCCATAAAAGGAGCGAGTGTGGTCTGGGCCAGTGGGGCGCTCCTGCCCGGGCATCCGGGCATAGGGGCAGGTTGGCTTTTCCCAGCCCACCCTCTCTTCAGGGAGCCCCCAAGAGAAGGTAAGGCCCCTGGATAGGTGCTGGCAGTGAGGAGGCAGCTGGAGGAGTGGGCGGTCATTGACAAGGCCCAGCAGGCAGGAGCTGGGTTTGTGATCCCCCAGCCAAAGCCACACCCCTAAGGCATCAGTGGCCCTGCTTAGGATGGGGATGGGCTGGCAAGATCTGCTGTGGGTGTGGTCCGCCCTGCCCATCTGGGCCTGGGAGATGGGGCCAGCCCTGCCCACTTTCTCCGGGCCTGCCCTGTTGCAGGCAACCGGCCCACCCTCACCATGAGGTTCCCACAGCCCTCATGGACGTCTCTGTCCCCTTCAGAGGGAGAAATTGCCTAGGAAATCTTGGCTGATTTGAGTCCCCTGCCTCCAGTCTGTAGGCTGCCCCCCGCCCCCCTGCACTCCAGGACCCACGGCATGCCCGGTTCCTACCTTTAGCTGCCACCCTCCCATCTTCTGTCTGGCACACAGCTACTGTCCAGAATGGTTGCAGCTCCCTTGTTGCCCCTTCCCGCCCAGGCCCTGGCATTCCCCATCCTCTGAGCCCATGTTCCCACCTCCTAGCAAATCCAGAATGGCCAGCTACATCCCTCAGTCCTGCTGCCAGAGTGGCTTTAACAGCGGCTCCTCAGGCGACTCTTAGGGAAGAGGCAGCCTGAGACCGTCCACACGCCCCTCACCCAGCACTCGCCTGCAGCTCTGGCCAGACAGGCCCTGCGGGAGCGGGGGCTTTGCACAGAGCCTCCTAGGCCTGCCCACCCTCTCTGCTCACTCATCCAGCCCCATAGGGCTTGGGAGTCATAGAGGGGGCTGATCAGGTGGGCGAGCTCTGCAGGCTGTGACCCACCACCTCTTCACTTTTCCTTGGGAGAGCCCCTTCTTAGCCTGGGTGGTGCTTGTCACTTGGTGTTGTCCTGATATATTTTCTTGTCTGACTCCCAGCCAGACTGTGAACTCAGAGAAGATGGGGTCTGTGCCTTACTGACAGTGATTCCTCTGGGCCCAGCATGTTGTCTATTCAGGGGTCACTAAACTACAGTCCATAGGACAAGTCCATTCTACCATCTGATTTTACAAATAATTTTTTTTTCTTTGTACCAGGGATTGAACTCAGGGGCACTTGACCACTGAGCCACATCCCCAGCCCTATTTTGTATTTTATTTAGAGACAGGGTCTCACTTGAGTTGCTTAGCGCCTCGCTTTTGCTGAGGCAGGCCTTGAACTCACGATCCTCCTGCCTCAGCCTCCGGAGCCCCTGGGATTACAGCTGTATGTCACAGTGCCTGGCACAAATAAAGTTTTATTGGAACAGCCACACCTGTTTGTTGTGTCTGGCTGCTCTCAGGTGCCCCTGCAGGGCAGAGTAGTTGTGATAGACTGACTTCTTGCAGTGCTGGAAGTATCTACTCTCTGGTCCTTTGAAGACCCAACATCTGGCCCCAGCAAGCGCACAGTAAGGCTTCCAGATGAGCAGTAGTGATCTTGCTGGTGGAGCCAGGAGCCATGGGAAGCCCTGCTACAGTGTTGCACTTGGGCCCTGCAAGGTTTAGCAGCCACGACTGGTTCCTCTCCTTTTTTAGATCAGAAAAAAGAAGCTTAATTAATAACTTGCCCAGCATCGCAGTTGCTAAGGTCCACCGGGAATCGGAATGTGACTGACTGCCTTCAGGGCCTTGACCGCCTGCCAGGGAATGAGCATGAGCCTGCGCCTTCATGAGAAGAGGGGGACAGAGGGCAAGGAAAGGGGGTGTAGAGAGCCATGTGCCAGAGGCACCCTCGAGGGGACACTGGGCTGCCGCTGTACTCCAGCAAGGGCCAGCCTCACACTGTTCATGTGGGACCGAGGCCTGTTGTAGCAGGGAACTCGCTAAGACACTGCGATGGCAAGGAGACACTGTGCTCCAGCTTGGGACCCCCCTGGAAAACTCCTTTTTCTCTGTGGTGCTGGGGTGGAACCCAGGGCCTCGTGCACCCCAGGCAGGTCTGTCCCACTGAGCTGCACCCCAGCCCTTGGAAGCCCTGGTGGCTGCTCCGTGGGCCATGCTGGGTTGGACAGTGACCTACAGGGTTGTGGAGTGACTGACATGGCAGCTGGGGAGAGGTGCCCCACAGAGTCCTGAGCCTGAGTGCTGCTCCAAGTCTCCATGGCAGATTAGAAGGCACTTGGGTATAGGCCCTCTGGCCTGTGATTTCATAAATGTGGCCCCTCAGCTGCTGGCTGGGCAGGGTCAGGCCTCTAAGTAGCCTCCTGGTTTAGTTGTGGTCAGAGCCATAGCGGGGTGTGCTGGCCTTGGGGGCGACTAGGGTTGGCCTTGCCCCTGCACAGCAGCCCCTGGGGAGCCCCTGGCTTAGGGAGCTTGGTGCAGTGTCTTCCAGATCTGCTCTTCTGAGGCGGGTGGGCCTCTCCATTGCCAGGTACAGGAGGAAGTCGAGGCATGTGGGGGGGATTTGTTCTCTTGGCTACCTTTCCACAAGGTCCCCTTTGTCCATCCCTGGCTGTTAGAGGTGTCTGGGTCCTTCAAAGTTCCCCTCACTGGTGGCTTGGCCGACAGGTGTTTTGCACACTTACAAGAGGCTCCGCAGAGTAGAGTTTCAGTCTTGCTCCAAGAGTTCCCAGTCTGGGGAGGAGGACAGGCCGGCCACAGTGGTTGAGAGAAAGTCCTGGAACTGAGTGCCAGGCACTCCTGGCTCAGCAGGCCAGCCGGAGTGCATTCCCAAGTGCACTCCAAGGGGCAGCTCCGGCCACATCCTGAAAGCTGCCTGCGGCTGGCTGTCATGGTGGGGCAGGCTGTTCTGTGGCCACTGGGGGCCTGAGAGCTGGTGCTGGGGCGTGCTGGCAGGAGACGGTGCTGGAACACGGGTGAGAGCCCGGTGGGCAGCAGCCCCCTGGAACCCCTCATGTGCTCTGGCTCGTGTCCTTATGACATCCGGGCCTCTCTCACCTCCTGAGCCCCTTGAGGTGGAGTCCTTGGACGTGGAGGAACCCCAGGGTCTGCAGCCCTCAGCTTAGGTCAGTGACTTTGGGCTTGTTCCTTGATTAGCTAACCAGAGTTGTCTTTTGTGTATAGGGAGGGACTGTCCCTCCCTCCCTCCCTCCCAGGGCTGCTGTGAGGAGTGTGGGGCAGGACAGTGGCCTCTGGGAGGCGGGCAGGGACGGGTCACTCAGGTGAGTCCAGAGTCTTAACCAACAAGCTCTCCCCAGCTGCCAGGCTTTGATCAGAACCGTGTCGCTGGCCGAGAAGTGGGTGGCTCCCCTCACCAGGAATCTTGGATTCTGGCCCACAAAGGAAAGTGAGCGTGTGTTGGAGGAGCAGCAGCTAGTCCCCTGTTGTAACGTGTGGGCAGGACGAGCCTGGGGAGGCCCTGCCCAGCGGGGAGACCCGACGAGTCCCTGTGTGGGACCCCCACAGAAATGCAGCAACCCCCACCCCCTTCCATTATTGAGTGTTGCTGGGAAGGGCCCAGGGGACAGAGGAACCAAGGAGGCTGTGACAGGGCGCGGCAGAGACGATGGCCAGTTCGGCTTTCCCGTGGCGGTGGCAGTGGAGACCCTGGGCTGTGCGTGTCGGCAGGGCTCATACTTGCTTGGTTTACTGTGCTGCCGCTGAACTCTCTTTAAGACCCCCTGGCTCCAGGAAACCGCCAGCCACTTCTGTTTTGCCAGGGGAACGTGTGCAAAATACTCAAATAGCAACTGCGTGTTGAATGGAAGCTCCTCTGAGAGGCCATTCTTCAGGACCCTGATCCCAGGAAGAATGTTGAATTGAGAAGAACCCAGACCCGGGACCCCTCTCCCCGTAGACTCTTGAGCACCAGCCTCCGGAGAGGTCCCAGGTCTGTCAGCAGAGTTAGGTTGTCACTGTCAAGGCCTTTGGGCCACGCCCAGGACCTTGAGGAAGTGTTACCTTTCCAAATTTAAGTATTTTCTTTCTTAACGCCTTGATTTTTTTTCTTTTCTTTTTAAAGTAGGTAAGGTCCATTTGTCCTCGCCTCATGGGAAAGGTGAGGGTGAGGCACAGAGGAGCCCAGGCTTCCTGTTGCAGGCTGGTCTCTGAGTTGGATGATGGGGTCCAGCTGGGGCCCAGGGAGCTCTGCTGGGAGTCCTGTGGCCACAGCCTGTGCCTGTCTCTGAGGGTGCGTCTGTGTGCTTTTGGTCACCAGGAGCTGCGGGAAGACAACATCATTCTAATTGAAACCAAGGCCATGCTGGAGGAGCAGCTGACCGCTGCCCGGGCCCGTAGCGATAAAGTCCACGAACTGGAGAAAGAGAACTTGCAGCTGAAGTCCAAACTTCATGACCTGGAACTGGTATTGCGAGCTGTGTGGTTGCTATGCGCAGACTAGCGGGGGCGGTGGGGGCGAGCACTGTGCCCTTTGCTGATGTTTTCACCACTGGGTTCCTTGCTACCACTGCCCCAGGAACTCAGGACCATGGAAGATAGCTTGCTATGCTCAGTGGGCTTGAGTGGACACTTAACAGCTCTCAAGGCCTCCAACCTGCTCCAGAGCCACCGACCTGTCCCTAACAGCCCTGTGTAGTACTCCCTCTGTTCAGAGAGCATTCAGTTAGAAACCTTCAGGCTCTCTTCAAAACCTGGGTAGCAGGTTGAGATACTGGTTGGTGGCTGTCATCAGTACGGGGGAGCATTTGTAGGCAGCTCTGTCTGTTGTAGAGAGCAGGTGCATGCCAACCCCCACCCCTCACGTCCAGAGGATGGTGGCAGACAGTGTGCTCCGGCAAGCCTGTCCTCATTCCTTCCCTCTTCCTGCCCTAGGACCGGGACACAGATAAGAAGCGGATTGAGGAGCTGCTAGAAGAGAACATGGTCCTCGAGATTGCCCAGAAGCAGAGCATGAATGAGTCGGCCCACTTGGGCTGGGAGCTGGAGCAGCTGTCCAAGAATGCAGAACTGTCGGATGGTAGGTAGCGCTGTGGCCTGGGAGCCGGCCCTTGGCTCTCAGTCAGTCGAGGCAGCCCATCCATTCACCCCAAGTAAATATGATTTCCTTCAAGTGCCATTTGGAACTGTTTCATTACGGTTCTCCCTGGGGAAAACATGAGGGGTCTGGCCGTCTTGATGTCAGGATGTGAAAGACAAATTAAGTGTTGCCAGGTTTCTCGGTTTCCCATATGGACACTCAGGAGCTTCCAGATTACAGCACGCTGATACCCTGAGGACATCTTAGGCCTGTCTGCGGATGGCTGAAAGCCCTGGATGGCAGAAGTGTCCCGGTGGTTGCTAATCCTCACTATAAATGTACCCTGGGCATTATTTCCTCTATTGATTTGCATAATTGGGCAAGATGGATGCAGTCTGTTCTCTGTCTCCCCAGTGGGGATGCTAAGTGGCTGCTGCTCCTGAGACCCGGGTTCTCTGCTGGTCTGCCTGGCCTCTTTCTCTCTCCTGGCTTGAAATGCTGCCCTCTGCTGGCCCCCTGGAGACGATGGCCGTGGTGGTGTGGGAAGGGTGGGGGCCTCAGTCAGCACTAGAGCAGGAAGCTTCAGCACCCGGCAAACAATAAGTCAGTTCCTGTGTTCAAAAATAGCACACGTTCACCATTCCTGTGCACCTGACATTATAAGTTAATATTTACTTAGCCCTTCACGGTAGGGCTTTTGGCTTCTTTGGGTGGTAGCTTTTAAAAATTCTGATAAACATTCCTAAGAATACTGTCAAGGGTATTGAAAGCAGCTGAATCTTTCTTTGCTTCTTTGAGAGCCCCCGTCAGTTCCAAACTTGAAATCAGCTGGTTAAACTGTTGCCGTGAGCATTGAGCTCTGGGAGATGCCCTGCCTCTGAAGTCCAAATGCACCTGGAGGAATTTCTGCCCCCTGATGGAGCCGAGAGGTGGTGCAAGCTGCCTAGGATGATCTCTGGGTTTATTTCTCTCCCGCCTCCTCCCTCCTCTTAGTCCTTGGGTTCATTTTGACAACTTCATACATTCGTGGTATTTGATTCATTTCTCTTAACACTCTGAAACTAGGGTGGCTGGTGGGGTGGAGGGCCTTTACCAATAAATAGATTAGTCAGGAGTTTGTGAATCCTTCAAGATTAATGACCGTGATTTATTCTCAGTGACAATGTTGGCCTGAATTACTGCATAATGTAAGCAAAACCTGAAGATACCTTTTATTGTTATTTCTGAAACATTTATTTTTTTAAAAGACATCAGGTCTTGTTGGTTACGTACATTAGTAGATTCCTCTAATCCCAGCAGCTTGAGAGGCTGAGACAGGAGGATCACAAGTTCAAGGCCGGACTTAGCAACTTATTGAGATCTCAGGAACTTAGCAAAGACCCTGTCTCAAAAAATTAAAAAGGGGCTGGGGTGTAGCTCAGTGGTAAAGTGCCCCTGGGTTCAGTCCGTAGTACAGAGAGGGATGAGGGGACCAGATCTTGCTATGTTGCCTAGGTGGCCCTGAGCTCCTGGGGCTCAAGTGATCCTCCCACCAGTGGGACTGTAGGCATGTGTCACTGTGCCTGGCTTCAAATATTTAAGCTTTTTTTTTTTTTCCTTTTCCTGCTACCCAGGATTGAACTTGGGGCACTCAGCCTGTGAGCCGCTTTCCCAGCCCTATTTTGTATTTTATTTAGAGACAGGGAGTCACTGAGTTGCTTAGTGCTTCACTTTTGCTGAGGCTGGCTTTGAACTCACCATCCTCCCGCCTCAACCTCCCAAGCTGCTGGGATTACAGGCCTGCACCACCCCTGAACGTACTTTTGGGTATATGGAATAGTGGCTTCCGAGTGAGAAGGACCTGGCTTAACGTCCTGGCTCCTCCATTTGTTAGCTGATGATCTGGGGCAAGTACCTGGCTTCTGTGGGCCATGGGACAATAAACCTGCCCACAGGGCCCTGCAGTTATAAATGAGATGAGAAGATGAGGCTCCACCCCTGGCCTGGCCGGGGCACTCAGTAGGGGGCAGCTGTCTTAGTGCCCAACTGCCCTGGTTTCTAGGCGTGCTGAAGAGCGGGGGCTTGGTAGAGAGCCACTGCTTGTCTTAGTGGTGCACTGCTTGTTGTTTGTAGAACCCTAAACACTGTCCTCTGTGCTCTGAGTTTTGGTTTGGAAAGATGAGAACCAAGTGGCAGCAACATGTGAATTGTCCCAGTGCCACGCCACTGTTCACTTAAGGAGGCCTAAATCGGAGCCAGGTGCTGTGGAATATACCTGTGATTCCAGTGGCTTGGGAGGCAGAGGCAGGAGGATCATGAGTTCAAAGCCAGTCTCAGAAACTCAGCGAGGCCCCAAGCAACTCAGTGAGACCCTGTCTCTGAATAAAATATTAAAAAGGGCTGGGGATGTGGCTCAGTGGTTTAGTGCCCCTGAGTTCAATCCCTGGTACATTAAAAAAAAATTTTTTTTGAATAAATAAAAAGGCTAAAATGGTAAAGTGATGTACTTCATCACATTTTCCCCCCACAATGCTAGAGGTACCATTGGAATCATAAGTTTGGAATTAGTGGAGTTTTAACTTAGGTATTTTAGATTAGGTTAGTTTCTTTTGTAGCCCTCCAGGCACCGTGTGCCTGTGGGGGGGGCACCAGGAGTGAGATGTGCCCTACCACCTCCCCCACTGCAGCCTGTTGCTGGTTCAGGTCTTAAGGATTGTCTGGCCTGTAGGATCTGTCCTTTAGCCTTGGAGAGGATGGAAGTGCACGGAGGGAAACAGACACCTGTCAGTCCTTACGGTTGCCCAGAGGACCCGAACACGCACATCATTTTGTAGACTGTGGTTCGGCTGTGAAAGCCCCCCCTCTGCTGCCCACATCCTCTGGGGTGATGGGTGGGGAGCAGGGGCTTGGGTGGAGATGGCCGCGTGAGCCAGAGCATACTGGGGCTCTAGGCGATGGGGGGCAGACAGGCGTGGAGCAGCCTCGCCCCCTCCCTCTGGGGCCCTCGTGCCCGCTGTTTTCCTCCCATAAAGCCTCTGACTTACCTGAAGTCCTGCACTGCTCACAGCAGGAGTGGGCTGAGGACCCCCATTCCTGGCTCTTGGAACTGGGCCCCTTCCTACAGCTTGCATCTGAGATGCTCAGAGGAAGGGTCAACAGATAATCTCAGAATTTTTAAAGCAATTTGCATAAATCATTTCACTTTTCTTCAATATGATGAGCATGAAATCACAAAAAGAGATCTCTGAGATAAGGCTCTCACTGGGCTGATTGGTGCTGGGCATCTGTAGGGCACAGTTTTCCACTATCCTGGACAGACCGACCCGCTCACCTGGTGCCCTCCCTGCTGAGGTGCCCGCACACCCCGTCCTCAGGCTGGTTAAACAAGCGATTTCTGTAAGTTGGAGTCCTGTTCTGTTTTCTGTGGTTCTGGGGGTTCAACCCAGGGCATTTGTGTCCTGGGCGGGTGCTCTGCCCCCAGCTGCACCCTGAGCCCAAGTTTTACAGCCTTGAGCTTGTGCGTTGGCCCCTCTGCTGCCAGCTGCTTTCTCCTAGGGCCCTGGTAGCTCCAGGCAGACTCAGCTGCGCCAGCTGAGGGACACCTAGGTGCCTCGTGGGTGGGGTGGAGGAGCGGGAGGTGGGTGCTTGGCGCAGGGCTCTGACCAACCTTGTGCCTCAGCCTCCAGGAAGTCATTGGTGTCTGAGCTGAACGAGTGTGCCTCCAGCCGCATCCTGAAACTGGAGAAGGAGACCCAGAGCCTGCAGAGCACCATCCAGGGGCTGCGGGACGCGTCCCTGGTGCTGGAGGAGAGCAGCCTCAAGTGCGGGGAGCTGGAGAAGGAGAACCACCAACTCAGCAAGAAGGTGAGCTCGCTGGGGCAGCGGATGGAGACCGGCCTTGTTGTTGGGGAACATGTAACTTGCACTGTGGGAGCCTAGATGAGCCATGGGCGCCCAGAGCCAGCCAGGTTTTAGCCAAGAGTGCTCTTCTTGCTGGTGGTCCCCTCTCGGGGCCAGCATCTCTGAGGTCTGGCCATGTCCTGGCCTGTGCCGAAGTCTTGCAGTGTCATTTGTCTAGGTTGCAGGGGCACTGGGAGGAACAGGGGCTGCAGACAGTGAGCCAGGTCCAGGGGTCCTGCCCGTGCTGGTTCTTCACCTCTCGGGACTTGGCACAGACCCATCCTGCCATGAAAGGGACCCTCCTGGGACCCCTGGCTGCAGGTTCCTTCCTGTTCTTCAAGGCACCTGCGTTGCATAGCATTTTAGCTGCGAGTGCCTCGCCCTGCCCTTGTGGGAGAGAGAAGCCATCCCCATATCGTGCCAAGTCTTGGTGCGGAGTAGCCTCGGAAAGGTGGCTAGACGTGTGGCTTCTTAGATTCAGGTGGGCCTGCCGCAGGAAACAGGTCTGTGAGTGGCCATGCAGGTTGGCCAGGGGGAAAAGAACTGACGCACGGGAAGGTGGCCTCCTGCCCTGCGGTCCTATTAGCCCTGTGACGGTGAAGGTCACCACCCTGCAGGTCCCAAGGTAGCACTCACCTCTCCTGTCTGCTGTGGCCCCTCCTTTGTACAAACCGGAAGGGGTGGTGGGTGCTTCACCCAGCATGATCCCTTCCACCCTCCTCTTGGTTCCTGGCCTCCTGCCCTGGGTCAGTTCCCTGGCCTGGCGCAGCCCTGTCTGCTTGGCTTCTGGCAGCTACATCTTGGCAGAGTTCCTGAGGGGACTACCGACTGGCCTAGGGCATGATATCTGTGACACAGATGGATAGATAGATAGGTAGGTTTTTTTATTTTTTCCTGAGAAAGAAGCTTGTTTAAGTACTCAGGGCCATGAGGTTTTTGTTGTGTTTTAAAACAACTTAGCAGGGTGCCGTGGTGCACGCCTGTAATCCCAGTGACTCAGGAGGATCGCAACTTAGTGAGGCCTTAAGTAACTTGGTGAGACCCACTAAAATAAAAAGGGCTGGGGATGTGGCTCATGGATAGAGCACCCCGGCTTCACTTCCTGTGGGGGTGGGGGGGAGAACTGAGTAAAAGTGGGTCTTTTGGCCCTGCAGATTGAAAAGTTACAAACCCAGCTGGAGAGAGAGAAGCAGAGCAACCAAGACTTGGAGACCCTCAGCGAGGAGCTGATCCGAGAGAAGGAGCAGCTGCAGAGCGACATGGAGGCCCTGAAGGCTGACAAGGCCCGGCAGGTAGGCACTGCGCTGTCCCTCTCTCCTGGTGTCCTGACTGCAGTAGGGCACCGAGGACTGCGGCGTGTACAGTGCTCCCAGATCCAAGAGCTGTCAGTAACACGCTCAGCAGCAGTGTGAACCAGGAGTCTCATCTGGAAGTGGGGGTGGGGTGGGTTCAGCCTCCCAGGGGAGGGTCTGCAGAGAAGCTGGGGAGGAGAGGCTGGTGCTCCCAGCGTGTCCTGGGAGGAGGCTGGGCAGTTCCCCAGGAGAAAGGATGGCCCAGCTTCAATGTCCATGTCATGGCGGAGGACCTTGGCCTACACTGGAAGTCCAGGGTATACCGTCCAGGGCGACTGCAGTGGTTCCATGATGCCATCAGCACTGAGTCTGTTTTCTGTGGCAGCAGAGGGTCCCCAGGGTCCTTGCAGTAGGAAGGGGGAGGGCAGAGAGGCAAAGGAAGCCTCCCCAGGGCCCTGTGTGGACAGCGCAGTGGCCACTTGGCTCCTGGGCTGCAGGGGAGGCTGGGCTGTCGGGTGTTTCAGTTTCAGCATCTCATGGAGGTCAGAAGTGGAGGGAAGGTGGCCTTCACCAGTGGGATGGCCCAAGGCTTTGGCTTCGCAGGCCCCTGGTTGAACCTACTTCCTGGGGTAGTTCACGCAGCAGCCTGGCTCATGCCGTCGTTTCTCCCGCAGATCAAGGATCTGGAGCAGGAGAAGGACCACCTCCACCGAACGGTATGGTCACTGCGGGAGAGGTCGCAGGTCAGCAGCGAGGCCCGTGGGAAGGAGGTCGAGAAGGAGAACAGAGCCCTGCACCAGGCCGTGGCGGAGGCCAGCAGCCAGCTCGGCCAGCTGGAGGTGGAGAAGCAGCAGCTGCACAGGGACCTGGAGCAGGCCAAGGAGAAAGGGCAGCGGGCAGAGGCCCTGGAGAAGGAGCTGCGCCGGCTGGAGGAGGAGAACGAGCAGCTGGCCAGGAAGGCGGCCTCCCTGAAGACGGCCACCGAGAAGGCGGAGGCCCTGGAGCACCAGAGCCGGGGCCTGGAGCTGGAGAACCGGACGCTGAGGAAGTCCCTGGACACCCTGCAGAACGTGTCCGTGCGGCTCGAGGGCCTGGAGCGGGACAACAAGCAGCTGGACGAGGAGAACCTGGAGCTGCGCAAGATGGTGGAGACCATGCGCTTCACCAGCGCCAAGATGGCGCAAATGGAGGAGGAGAACCAGCAGCTGGAGCGGGAGAAGGAGGAGCTGCGCAGGAACGTGGAGCAGCTGAAGGCCTTGGGCAAGAAGTCAGAGCGCCTGGAGCTCAGCTACCAGGGCATGAGCGCCGAGAACCTGCGGCTGCAGCAGAGCTTGGAGAGCAGCGGCCACAAGGCGCAGGCCCTGGAGCGGGAGCTGGCCGAGCTGGAGGCTGAGCACCAGGCCCTGCGGCGAGACCTGGAAGCCCTGCGGCTCACCAACAGGCAGCTGGAGAGATCCGAGGGGGACAGGAAGGCCCTGGAGCAGGAGGTGGCCCAGCTGGAGAAGGACAAGAAGCTGTTGGAGAAGGAGGCCAAGCGCCTCTGGCAGCAGGTGGAGCTCAAGGACGCCGTCCTGGACGACAGCACCGCCAAGCTGTCGGCGGCCGAGAAGGAGAGCCGCGCGCTGGACAGGGAGCTGGCCCGCTGCAGGGACGCCGCCATCAAGCTGAAGGAGCTGGAGAAGGACAACAGGGACCTCACCAAGCAGGTCACCATGCACACGAGGACGCTGACCACCCTGAGAGAGGTGAGCAGGTGCCAGGGGTCGTGGGCTGCGCGGCTCCAGGCGGGAGGGGAGCTGGGTCCTCCTCGAGGCTTTTCTCTGATTCCAGACAGATGACACCTAAGGGTCTGAGCAGCCCGGGGAAATCACGAGCCGTGATCTCACTCCACAGGGGCGACCCCCCTGGGTGTGGCCCGTCTGCTCCCCTTGTGTTGTGCCGAGGCTCCTGGCGTACCCTGGGCCACGTCCCGACAGCCGCTCACAGGGGGCAGACATCCTGAGTGGAAATGACTTAACAGACCCAACCGCCAGACACCTGCCTCGCAGCACAGCACGCGGCAGTGTCTCTGGTGTCCCCTCCTGACTGCATGATGGGGAGCTGAAGCTGGTTGTCCCTAGCCCCTGTCAAGAGAGGACCGGAGCACACAGTGCTAGCTGGGAAGAGACCACAATCCATAGTTTGGTTGTGAAGGCCAAAGTCTTGAGTCGTCGTGTCGGGGACTCTCTGTGCTCATTCTCCAGGCTGCGCACATAGTTGAGCTCCGTTTTTATCGTTATCAGTTACGCCACGTCTGTCCTCTCAGATGCTCCTCACAGGCATGCTTTCTCAACAGGAGAAGCCACTTAGTCCCGTAGGTTTACAGTGATCATTTTGGGGGCACTTAGGTTACTCCCAGTGATCCCCACAGCTGTGGTTTCTTGGTGCTGGGATTGAGCCCCGCGTGCCTGCTGAACGGCACCCTGACCCCACCCCTGAGGGACTCACGGCCTTCCTGAGCGTGCCAGACTGTTTTCCTGGGCTGTGTTCCTAGAGGTGCATACGTGTGTCTTGATGTATGTGAAATTCTTCAGAAATACGTGTCCTGCCGCTCCCTGGTGTCGTTCAGCTGGGCCACCTGAGCGTCTGTTCGTTCCGCTCATGACGGTGAACGGCTGCTCTGGTGACACCTTCAGCTTCTGAGGGGCCCAACACCCAGGTTTGTCTCCCTCACCTTGGGGTCAGTGTGCATGTTCCCAAATGTCTTCAGCTCAGTGGCTCAGGCACCTGGCTTCTGTCAGCTGGGCCACACAGCCACGGGCGGCTGCAGGGTGCTGTGTGCCCAGGAAGAGAAGGACGTGGGGTTCCGTGGACAGAGCAGTGTCCACACTCAAAACGGAGGACTGTCAGGCTGTCAGAATGCTCCGGGAGAGCTGTAGGCTGTGCGCACCACCCACGGCCCCCATCTCCAACAGCATGGGGCAGGCCATGCCCCACCACCGCTGTGTTCCTGCTGGGCCCACGTCCCACCCTCGTTCTCCTGCCTTCGCAGGACCTGGTGCTGGAGAAGCTGAAGAGCCAGCAGCTGACCAGTGAGCTGGACAAACTGAGCCAGGAGCTGGAGAAGGTCGGCCTCAGCAAGGAGCTGCTGCTGCAGGACGATGACGGCCACGGTGACACGTGAGGACGCTGTCCCCGCACAGTCCACTTCCCTTCACTGTGGAGGCCGCGGGCTCCCTGCCCCTGGCCCGAGGCCTTCATTTATTGTTCATGATCATCACCGCATGACTGAGCCCATGTCCTCACCATCCAGGTCTTTCTCGTCCCTGGAGGCTTTTGGGGGAAGGGGATTGCTGTGCTCACTTGCCGTTTTGGGGGTCAAACCCAGGCCTGCTGCATGCTGGGCGAGTGCCCTGCCAACGAGCCACCCCCAGCCCAAGGCGCCCTGTTCCTAGCCTGACGGTCGCAGCTCTCCTGGCCGCGCTTTCTTAAGTGATGGCAGTTCTCAAGGAAATCCAGCACCTTGGGCTTTTCCTGGACTTGTAGCCTACAAGACCCACGAGCTGCTGGGGGTGCCAGTGTGGTGGGAGGGCTGTACACTCCCCACGGAGCCTCGGGCAAGTTGCTTGACCTATTTTTTAATACCTTTATTTTTGCTTGTTTATTATTTGTTTTTCAACATGGTGCTGAGGATAGAACTCGGTGCCTCACGTGTGCGAGGCAAGTGCTCTGCCACTGAGCCCCAGCCCCAGCCCCTGGCTTGACCTTTTGGAGACTCAGTTTCTCTGTAAAATATTCATGCTGACGCCTCCCCAAGACAGTGACCAGTCCGTGAAGTGTGGCTGTGCCACATGTGAGGGCTCACAGGTGTCTGCCTGGGGTAGATGTCTGTAGGGCTCTGGATGGTGGGTTTGGCTCCCAGGCGCTCCTGGGCCACCTGGTCTGGTGGCGCAGGACAGCTGAGCAGGAACAGCTCGCATGGGAGTGAGGAGAATGGCGTGGGGGTGAAGAGGCAGGTCATTGTATTGTGTCTGTATTTTTCAGAAAATACAAGATTTTGGAGGGCAGAAGCGAATCTGCATTGAAGACAGCCCTGGCTGTGAAGGAAGAGAAGATCGCGTTCTTGGAAGCCCAAGTGGAAGAGAGAGCGGGCCTGAACCTCCAGCTGCAGAGCGAGCTGCAGAGGGTGAGGGCCGCCGCCTGGGGGCTCTGCCTTGGCTCCCCGGCCCCTCGCTTGGATAGCAAAGGGCCTCCCGGATGCCCGTGTCCTGGGGCAGGTGCGGGTGAACTGTCAGACTCACACGGTGGGGGGGAGGGTCAGCCAGAGGCATGAGCAACCCCCTGTTCATCTGGGACAATGGACGTGCCATGAGACCCCATGTGACACTGAACCCTGGGCATGGAGCAGAGGCCTGTAGAGTCTCCCAGACACCCTGAGGTGGGATGGGCTTGTGAGGGCATGACTTGCCTGCTCCATGCGCGCGCACACAAGTGCTCTCCCCTCACGTTGCACACACCTTCCACACGCATGGGCAGAGGAACTCTCTGCATACGCACGTGCTCCATACATGTGCACACGTCCCCCTGTTGTGACACAGGGCACGTTTCTTGGCCGTGGGGTTGAACCTGGAGCACAGCAGTTCTAGTGCTGGGGGTTTGCACCATGTGAGACCCCTGGTGCCCGTCCCGCAGCCTCTGGTAATGGTGATCACAGGCTGAGGTGGGGACTGAGGCCAGCACGGGCTCCAGGCCCCTGCCATCCTGTCCTTTCTGGACAGGAGGGGGAGACACGCGGGACCCACAGAAGCAGAAGGAGGGCAAGTCAGTTCTGTCCTGTGCTGGGGGTGAGTGGGTGCCTCTGAGACTTCGGGGTGAGGCTGCTTCCTGCCTCCATCTGCTTTCCTGCCACCACTCCCACAGGTTAAGGAGGAGTGTGAGCAGCTCAGGCAGACCCAGGAGCACGGCCCGCAGGCACAGAACTCGCTCAGGCACCCTGTGGGCAAGGCCGTTGCCGGTCACCAGGAGGAGGCCTGGGGACCCAGCCAGCAGGAGGCCACGATGGAGCTGCTCCGCGTGAAGGACCGAGCCATTGAGCTGGAGCGGAATGTGAGTGAGCTGCCCTGGCCACAGCTACACAGAGAGAGGGATGTCCTTTTAACAGTGACGCTGATGACGTCGGTCTGTTAGGTTCCCTGGGTCCAGCCGGGTGTTTCTCACGCACGGTGTCTGCAGTTCTGATGGGCAGTCACTCATTGTGGGTTTCTAGCCGTAAGGACCCACGCCAGTCTCTCATTGCCACCTGCCCCTGTCACGGGACGTCCTGTAGCCTGCTCACCAGCAGCGTGGTGGTGTCCTACGGGGCTGGGTCCCAGCGCTGCGTGCCAAGACCCCCACCATGTCTGTCAATAAAGTTTTACTGGAACACAGTCACACCTTTGGCACAGGGTGTCTGAGCTGTCTCCACTGCGATGGCAGGTTCAGGGGGTGAGATGGCGATGGTGTGGTCGACAGGCTCTGGGCATTCGCCGCTGGCCCTCTGCAGAACAAGTTGGCCAGTGCGTGTCTGTCCCTCTGTTTTTTTTTGTTTTTGTTTTTTTTTTTTATTCCCACCAGTGACCTTGTGAAGGGACATTTTCATTATTTGACAGATGTGAAAGCCAAGACTGAAGATGAGAGACTCTTCCCAAGTCCCGCCCTAACAAGGGGCAGCAGGAGCCTGCGGCCCCCACGGCCCGGCCTGAGCCCCCTCGTGGCAGCTGGTGTGGTCTGCCTTAGACCCCATTGCGCCCCTGCAGCCGAGCGCTGCCACTCCCCGTCCTGTGAGGGACTGGGGGTAATGGGACGCGAGCAGCTCACGGGAAAGCACTTCCAGGGTGTCCGTGGAATACAGGGGAAAGCATGACAGAGCAAAAGGCCACCGTGGCTTTAACCCCAGGTGCCCTGGCCTCCGCTCAGCTTAGGCCCCACGCAGTGACCCATGGAGTATGGTCTGTTTTTAAAAAATCCTGTTGATTGTCCTTTTCAAAGAGGGAAACATATTCTTGAGGGGTCCTTGCAACCTGGGCCCCCAAAGCTGGTTGGCGTTCACCCCACCAGGGTTTGATTGGTGTCCTGTGTCCTGTCCCCAGAACGCAGCTCTGCAGGCAGAGAAGCAGTTGCTCAGGGAACAGCTGCAGCACTTGGAGACGCAGAACGTGGCCTTCAGCAACCAGATCCTGACGCTGCAGAAGCAGAGCGCCTTCCTGCAGGAGCGCACCACCACGCTGCAGACGCAGACTGCCACGCTGCAGGTACTGCGACCCGGGCACCGGGACCCCGAGAAGGAGCAGTGGGGCGCGGGAGGTGGTTTCAGGGCACGTGTAGCAGGGAACTTTGGTGATGGGAGCCACTCACAGCCGTTAAGTGCCTGGGCCGACGTCTGCGTGGGTGGAAAAGACATTTTCTGCTTCTACTGCGATTCCCATCTGTGTTTCCCCAAGTCTGTTCCTTGAGGTTTTATTAGGAATGACTTAGGAAAGAGATTTTGAGATGGAGTAAGTTTGGTTAAACGGTGGATCGGGTTTCTGGGCAGTAGAACCTGGCAGAGCCTTTGATAAGCCTGTGAAGGAAAACGAACAATCGTTAATGTGGTTTCTGAGAAAAGTTTCGAAACAGGTTCCTTATGGGACAAGGGCAGGAAACCTTGGCAGAGAGGTTGGGAAACAAGAAAACAGGGTATTGGTTTGTTGTTTTGTCCTATAAACCTCCTCTGTCTGGCTTTAGTATCAGGGTGGTTCTGGCCCCTGTCCAGTTTCCTAATGACTTTGGACCACGTTGGATGGAATGTTCTTTGAATACCCGTGATGCTAGGCTGGGTGGTGTTGTCCAGGTGTTCTGTATACTTGTTTTAGAAAATAGACTCCTAAAAATCATGAGGGTCAGCCACGCACAGTGGTGCCTGTAATCCAGGAATCAGGAGCTGAGGCAGGAGGATGGCCAGTTAGTGCAACCGTCTGAACTTACGGAAGGGCTGGCGATGCCACTCAGTGGGCA